TGCTCTCCATAAATTCGAGTTTCAAACTCGCGCAAGACTTTTCACGATTTTTCCCAAGTGGAGAGTTTGCTCGCAGAGTGTCGTTTTGAAACCGAAGGTAGTTCTCGAATACGAATGAGAAATTTTGCGGAAATGATCCTTAGAAAAGACAACAAGAACTTCTATCCTGATAGCAGGCGTAGCGCGTTTCCTGCGTCGAGCAAGCTCTGCTTGGAAATCGAGAGAGTCCAAGTTTACGCGGGAGTTAAGATAGGCGCGTGAGTCCACAATTCGCGCGATTTACAAATGTAGGACTAGCTCAATGTCTAGTATAAGTAACAAGAACTTAACGGTCTCTCGTTGTTAACGTTGAGTCATAGTCATAATTTTCACACGAGTTCAACACAGGTTTTTTTTTTCTTTCTCTCTTTTTGAGGCGTCCTTCTGTGGACCTTTTACCCGTGCGAAAGCTCAGAATTTAAAAGTTGAGTTTTGCAACCACAAGCAACGAAAAAAGCGTAAAAAAACTAGGCTGGAAAATTCCCGAGCTAGAGTGCACACAAGTTTGTGTGCAGGCGCATCTTTGCGTCGCGTTAACCGCTGCTTCAGTGGGTTTTGGAACGTCCATGTTGTCCTTTTCACATCGCATCCACTTCAAGGCGATGCTCTGTGGGTAGTCAGCCTCTACACGAACGTTAAAATCGTCAAATCTATAATACTTTGGCCCCGCGAAGAAGTATGATTTTCCATTCCTCCATTTCATAGCTGCATCAATCCTTTGGGGAAGTCCTTTCCAAACGCTTATGCTTCTCGGATATCCATAATCGATTTTGTTTCCATAAAAACGCCAGTACTCGTCTCCTTTGAAGAAGTACGTTCGCCCGTTTCTTTCCCAGATAAAAGCAGCGTCCATATTTGCTAATTCCATTGGTAGTCCAAATTGTGTGATGGAGAGGCCGTTGCGTTCAACTATATAGTGCTTTCTTCCACTATAGTAGTAATACTGCCAAAACCTAGAAAAGTAGAAATACGTGTCAAAATAAGATTTTTCACTCGACTGAGCGTGCATTTTACAAAACTTTCCCCTCCGGCCCCAGCCTAGTCCCAAGACGTCTCGCCTCGGTCAATCCTGGCCCCGGTTGTTCAAACGCTGGGTAGCGCTATCCACTCGATAAATCACTATCCAGCGGATAAGTATTAGGAAAACTTATTGCACTATCCATTGGACAGTGATTTATCCGGTGGATAGCGCTATCCAGCCTTTGAACAACCGAGGCCTGGACTCTACCGTGAGCTGTAACGTCAACGAGAGGGACTCGCCTACTCTTTCATAGACTGCGCGCGCACAAAGGGGCAAGAGAAGCTGCCTAGGGGTCTAGGGCGGCTCCTGCGCTCCCTAAAAATGCCATGATACGTTTTTCTTAGTTTGAAAAACGCACCATCCATGCCGCTTAGCATCCTATATCCAAAAGATGCAGGAAAAAAAGTATGGTGTGATGAAATATATACCACACTGCTATATTTTGACACTAACGATACTTGTAGAACTGACTAGAACTTTTCCATCAAGTTTATTTTTTGAAGACACATTAGAAGGCCAAACGTGTGTAAATCACGCAACGGAAATTAGCGCCATTTATACTGTTTTTGTCTTTACACACATAAGACGCGTCTTATTGTTCCACGTATAAATGGTTCTGAGCTGGCTACCCTGCAATTCTCTAGGGAAAATATGCAACCCTTGGCAAGTGCGGGAAATCTGCAACAGCAGCTAACACGTAAAAATATAGCCCCAAAGCGAGCGACAAAATAAAAGATACAAAGAGTATGTTACATTAGTTTTGCAAGTATTTTAGAAGTTCTTTACACGGATTAAAAACCGAATTACTCTCGGTCGCTCTCTTGTAAGGGAGTAGCAACTTTTGCTGGGTTAAAAAAAAACTTCAAGCTCTGGAATAATTTCATTTTCTAAGGGGAAACCTATACTTTTCTAGATCAACGACTAAAAAAGTGACTCACTTTGAACCACTGAAGAAAACCAGTCTACTAGCGCTTTTCTTGTAGGCGGCATCTATCTTGGTCGGAAGCTCCTTCCACAGGTCGGAAACCTTGTGAGGTCCACTTTCCAAACCCGCACCGGGATCTGACGATACAACCCAAAACTGTGTGCCTTTAAGCGCGTACGTTTTTCCATCTGGGGCGAGAAAAAATGTGTCGTAGGAATACATTGAGCACACATCCTTTTCCTCGGGGAGGGGAGGTTTAGTGGATGCCGGTTTGGTTGTAACGGAAGAATCTGTAGGCTGTGTCCTAACAGGTTTTCCTGAAAGAAAAAAGGAACAAGAGTTTTAACAAACAGAAATTAAGTAAAATATTGTACTTAATCTTCATTGCTAAATCATGATTTGAATCTGAGTTGGAAGAAGCTAAATGTCCTGAACGCAGGTCCCTTTCAAAGCAGATGGACATCTACGATGCTTCTGTAATTTGGGAGCTGTCAGTTTACATGGATTCTTAACTGAGCGTCAAAAGTATTATTGGAAATATTGTTGCCTTTAATTCACGATTTGCTACCCTTAACCATTCACAAAACCACAAACAAGAATTAAACACGCACACTTTTCTCTACGCTTGACGATGACGAATTGGTTCATAGCCATCATCGACCTGCACCTACTTCGATTCAATTTTAGTAATGGTGAAGATAAGAAGGAAAGATCCACACGCTATCATGAACACGTCAGAATGCAAAAAAACGCTCACTTTAATATTGTCTCTACTACACTTCTGATTGGTTTAAACATCAAATTTTTAGTTCGAAATCTTCGCAAAGCAGCTTGTATATCAATTCCTTTGTATTCTATCCAGCTTCCTTAAAACAAAAACTCGTCTGGGTCTAAGAAACGCAGAAATCCTATGTGAGAAAAAGTAAAATTGTAAACTTATCTTGGCTGTTATTTGCAACTCTTATGATTGGTCGAAATCTTTTAGCACAAAAAACACGCACACTTTAAAATTGGAGAGTTTAAATGAATTTTATTTCGTAAACTGCCTTTTTGTAGGTTTTTACATTCTCTATGTGAAAATGAAAACACTCCTATGTGAGGAAAACGTATTGCACCATAGCAAAAGAAGTTGCTTCCCGTCTTAACCGGATCACTTATGACGGCGAGACCTTGAACACAACCATTTTTATATAAAAATGTGTTTTATTTGCGTGTGAATGAATGAAGACTGACCAGAACTGTGCTACTTTTTGTGAAGCCTGAACACACAAAAACTGTTTAACTCACCATAGAGCGCTTGTATTCCTAGAGTATCATCAGAAGTAAGCTGAATATTAGCTTTATATCCCTTGTACCAAGGGTACATGATAGATTCCCTTACGTTGGAATGTTCCAGACCCAGGCTGTGTCCGAACTCATGAACCGCCACCCAGTCCAAATTGACACCGTAACGTGTCCCGGTAGTGAATCGCTCGTCATCGTCGAAATGAGCGTCACCCGAAAGACCTGAAGCGAAACCAAAAGGACATCAATTATTATCTAACCGAGATTAATAGCCAAAACTCTGTCTCGTGATGAGATATTCCAACCCTTCACTTCATCCAGGTCTGACCGAAATACTACTAAGAAGTAATATGTGCACCTTTTACCAATATGATTCGGATAACAAGAGTCAATGTGTCAAAAGTCAAACCTAAAATTGCTATTATGACGGTTTCTAATGAAGACTAGAAAGCTAACATAGCAATTTCGTCGGTTCCTTAAGTTTATGTGATTGCTACGCAATGTTCTTGGCCGAAACGTTCGCGTCTCTTTCTCAGCTAGTTAGAATGGAAGTAAAAACAACTACTTATGGAAGTGTTTTCCCGCGCTTGGCCTCTGCCGCATACATTTCCTTTAGTTTCTCATTGGTTGACGAAATTTACTTACGTTGTGATTGGCCGAAGTAACTTGCATTGGTTTTGGTCTTACAAAAACAGGGATTCATCTGCTATGATCTGATTTAGTTAGTCAGGTTGTATTTCTTGTAATTATTTTTGTGACTACGACTTGTTTTCATTATTTTCACACTACAGACTTCTTGGGTAGATAAACTTGGGGTTTAGCTAGCCTTCCAGCAGTCAGTCTATCAAAAATTGAAATTGAATTTAAAACTGTGTTCACCTAAATTGTTATGTGGATAGAAGGCGTGTGCTAAAGTTCCACCCTGTCCGTCAAACGGATAAGCGTCATTGTGGTATCCGCTTTCAAAACTTATGTGAAT